ATAAAGGCTAAATGTTTGATCTCCAGTAATAATATCTGCGAATACTCATAAAAATCTCATAACGTATATTAAGACAATATTGTGTGACAAGAAGGAAAAAGGTGCACAACACTCACCGTAATTTCAACCATGACATGCATACCCACTTTTATATGATGGCGGATCCAATACCAATCATTATTCTTTATAGGAACCCACCTAAAGCACATCAAGGCATAATAATCATGAGGGAGAACACTTTAAGATAAATTAGAAGAACAAACCCAGTAGCTATCGAATAAGCTAATCCAAATCACAGAAAATATAGCCTCCAATTTATGCCTCCTAATTATTGTTGATAGCATAATAAATTTGTCATTAAAACAGCTACAGGTGTCAAATAAAATAATAAATAGTTTAATGTACAGAGCAAAACTATTTTTTTATGTTTCTCGCTTCAGAAAGTAGTGTTGCCATGTTTTCACTAATTTAGACATCCAAGTGATAATGAGGAGACAAGAAAGTTGCCTTCTTTTGTAACCTCGTAAATAAAATACTAAGCCTGTTTTCCAACAAAAACGGGGCAGGCAGAGTGCATAACTGCTTCGGTTTTTAAAGATACTCATAAAGGTATTTTCCTACCTATCAGTATAAGGGAAGGAACTCATTATTACTTGTATGAACAATCCTTCATCAAAACATATCAACCAAGGAAAGTAGCACCTAATAAGAACGAATTTCAGGAACGCAAAAAGAACAACTTTGGGAAATGGATATTTACCCATCATATACCCCACCAATGTCAACAAATGCCCCTTGATAGAGGTGCAAAGTTGTCACCTTCCCTTCACAAATCTGCACAAAAGATTTTTTTTTAACTAGTTCATATGCTATTTATGATAAGAAATTGCATCTGCAGAATGAAAGCCAATCGTTCAAGTGGCATGGCAAAAGGTAACAATTTGTGAGAAGCAGTATGGTTAAGACAGCACACGCTTAGTGCAGACAACTGTAGGCACTCTTGCAATAGGAACAAGAAGTGCAGTTTAAAGGCAACAACAGAATGCTCCATAAAGAGAATAACATGAAATCAATGACTTACTTGGCCAGGATAATAGAACGGAAGCTCGTACTGCACAAGACAGTGAAGAACACATATAATGAGGGCATTGCAACATTGAATTCATTAGCCCAAGAATAATAAATAAATGAACAAATGCAACGTATCTGACCATGCCCTCCTTGTAGTCCTTGCCTCTTTTCCTCCTACCAGGATGGTAGTCTTGATCATACTGTTAGATTCAAAATACATGAACATATTAGTAGCCTAAATAAGCAAGAAAAGGGACAGAAAGCCCAAGCATTCGTCCGAAACCTTGTAAGATTCCTCCTCCAGTTTGTCCCTATTTGCTTCCACCCACTCGGTGTATTGCTTGACAAACATCTTATACCTGTCCAAGCACAAATCATCCGTTTCCGTGCTAACGTCAGCTTCCAACTCCTCCAAAGTGATTCTGTCTCCCTGCAACTTATGTGCCTCGCGTATAAACGCCAATTCCTTTCTATCGACCTCCCACCCTCTAGGTGGCCAATCCCTCGGCGGCACGAGTCGCATAACCATTGGACCAGCCCAATAAGTCTCTAGAGGAGGCGGTATCTCTCCCTTCATCTCAAATTGCTTACGGTAATAGTCGTCTTCAGTCAGCCCCATCTCCTCCATCTTCTTCTTCCTATACTTGGGGCTCAGCATTTTGAACGCCTCGATAGCTTCGGGAGATTGAAGAGGAACCTCTTCGCCTTCATTCAAGCTCTTGCGCGCGAAATCAGCTTCCGGAGTGAGTACCTCCTCCCACGGAGCCCAGCCACGCTCGATCCAATTGCGCCTCCGAGCTTCATCTTCGGTTTCTTTGTCTTTGGGACCGAAGTTCTCCAAGAATGTCTCATCGACGGGGAATTCATCGGAGCTAAAGGACTTGGCTACGAAGTTGATGGAAAGTGGTTGGTTTCCGACAAGTAGAGAACGACGTTGAGAGTGGAAATGGTGAGAGGAAGGGTTTAGGGTTTTAGGGAAACAGAAGGGATAAGAGGTTTGGAGAGTTTGCATTGCTGCAAGTGGAACGTACCACAAGCAAGCCGAAGAGAGTGAAGCATGAGAGTAACGAGTCCCACCTGAAAGCTTCTATTTAGCGGATAGAGCTTATGCTTTAAAATCCTTTTTCTTTTCTTTATCAGAATCAAAATTTCTACTCTTTTATTTACCATCTCCAAATTTCTACTTATGGCACCTTGACATTCACATTAATTATTAATTGTTAATTAATTAAATATATAATCAATATCAATATGAAACTTTCAGAAATATAAATAACTAAACTTTTTTTATCAAAATTTAAATAACTAAACTTATTCAATCAAATTAAAACAGATATTTTTTAATTGGCAGTTATTCTCTTATTTATTTTTTTAATATAAGAAGTAGGTTCTGTGAACAATAAAAATTAGAGAGAATATTAGTTAAGGATCACAGTAGCAACTTAATTACATGTGAACCTAAAAAAAATTTAAAAATTTAAGTTCAATTTAAGGGATAAAAGTCAAAAAAATTTTGACAATAAAAAGATTAAAATACCCTTAACTTGTTATGCAGAATCACTAGTTTTTAATTTTGAGAGAATGACAGTTAGGTCTCAAATAAATGAATTAATGACAATTAAATTTTTGATAAATTTTTTTACAAAATAAATTATAAACATCAATTCAAATAATTAGAAACAGAAATTTCTATTACAATTTAAAATTTATATTTGATATTTAAATATTTATTTATAATTCCTAAATTTGTAATAATTTGGATCAATATTTTCAACTTATTTCTCAAAAACACTTGTTAGGGACTTAACTAGTATTAATTCAGTGTTTTGAGACCTAATTGTTATTCTTCCTTTAATTTTCTTACTTCACTTGTTAATTTATTAATATGAGTTGTAAATTACATGAATCGACATGTCAATAATTATATGAAACTTGACATCAATTGTTTAATCATAAGTAACAATATCAGTTGTTAAATTACTAACTTTACTTATTAATTTATTAACATCATCACAAGACTTGTCAGTAATTTACAAATAATGTTAGTAAATATTTGTAAACTATTGACAGGTCTTACAATGATGTTAGTAAATAAATAAGTAAAGTTAGTAAGTTAATAATTAATATTATTGATTATTTAACAAATGAATGTAATTTACAAGTTATATTGATAAATTAACAAATAAAGTAAAAAAATTAACAATGAGTGATTTTATATAACAAGTGAAGGATATTTTAATTTTTTAACTGTCAAAATTTTTTTGATTTTTTTTCATTAAACTAAATTAAAGTTTTAAAAATTTTTTAAATTCACGCATAATTAAGTAGCTATTATGGCCCTTAACTATAATTCTTTCTAAAAAATATCTTTTTCAAGATAGTGAAATTTCATGACACATTTCCCCCAAGTCCCAACTAAATATTAATTAATAAGTTCAATTCAAGTATTGGATGATACTAAAGATAATAAATGATTTGATGCGTACTTATTTATATGGCAAGACTAGGTGGAAGTGGAAATATGATTTCTTTTAGCAATGTTGTATTGCTTGTGTATTTCTTGTTTGTGTGTGTGTGTGTGTGTTTTTTTTTTTTTTTTTTTTTAAGACAAAAGTCGCCAGCGCTGCAAAATGTGGCCTTGCGTGGCCCGCAGAATCCCCAAGCTGTAACATGCTAAGCTCTTGATGAGGAGTAGCTAGGTGTGAAGTGAAATCCAGCGTCCTAACTATGAACCTTTTTTTTTTTTTTTAATGCAAAGCCAAATCAGATTAGAATTAAAAAAAAGTCCTGCATCCTAGAGACATGCTCATCTACTTCTCTTTATAAATTATTTCTATCAATATCATTAATACTAATATAAAAAAAGTAAAAAGAATAAAAATATAAAATTTTAAATATGCCCCCTATATGACAAATATTAAAAATTATGTCATGTTATTTTTTTCTCTCATAAAAAATAATTTTAAAAATATCTTTTAAATATTAACTAAAAAGTTATACCTTGACTTATAAATAAGATTAAATAGATATTCTAAAATATGCTTTACAAATAAAATGCAGGGAGTATAATATAAAATTGTTGTGTTGATAGTTTCATGATCAACATCACTAGCAAGCCCATCAATGCAACTATTAGTTTTCTTTTTTTTTTTTATCGGGCGATTAAAAGTAGATCTTACATTAATAAATCTCTAATCTTTTTAATGGGACTGTTAAGAGGATGCTATAGGGAGAATTAGTTATGGATGAACATTAAGGTTTCCATCAAATTAGTGAACACAATAATTTTAGAATTATTTTGGCTTCAACAAAGTGTTAACCCTTATAAGATACCTAAAAGTCCTAATGTCGTGCATGCTTAAAATCCAATGCATGTTTTGAAACTCTTTAACTAATTTCTATGTTGGAGACCACCATAAATCCTACCTTCATTAGGAGAGTAAGAGCCATTAATGTCTAACCTAACCCGTCTTTATTATGGCTGAAGTTAGCCAACCAATCACTGATTGCTCCCCATGCATACATGCCGATTCCGTGCTCTGCATGAAATGGTCCATGTATAACTCGTTTGTTTTTTCAGATAAACTCTTGACCATAGAAAGTGAATTACTTCCGAGCTATAGTTATGGATCAACTCCTTACGAATTCATACCCAAAAAATGTATACTTTTTTATTTAAAAATTATACCTTGTTCTTTCTGTCTAGCAAACCATTCCTCACAGAATTACAGTCCAAAAGATTTAAAAACCGATTTAGGATGTTCACAAAGAGAGAGAGAGAGAGAGATTTAAGATGATATGATTTATTAATATGTAATAGCAGTTAGAGAGAGAGAGAGATTTAAGATGATATGATTTATTAATATGTAATAGCAGTTTTAGTTCTAAATTCTGACTGATGAGCAAATAATGCCTATCAACATGATATCTTACTAATACTATGCATATATATATATATATATTGCTAACAGCGAATTAAGCTTATCTGTACATGTAAATTCAGAAACAGAAGGCTAAAATAATCTTAAATTACATAACAGGAGACTGCCTGAATCAATTCTTTGCCGCTGCCTCCACCTCTCAATGAGAAGATCTTCACTTTTTTTGAGTTCAAGGTACTCATCCATATCATAATTCAGTCCTTTAGATGATGCAGTAGACAATGGCTGGCTTTCATAGGATTCGCCAAACTTACTGCTTAAATTCTTCCCCGAGTACTCTGCAATACCTTTAGGGCTCCAGCTTCCATGGCTACTGACAGAATGATTGCTTTGATCCTGTGATTGGGTGATTCCCTATGACAAAAAAAAGGGCAACAATCGTTGGCATGTCGTTGATTTTTCCCCCATCATCCAAAACAAAGGATGTTAAATGTCTTTGATACCTTGAATAGTTAAATTTACTGTTGCACGACACTAAGAATCTGTCATTTGGCGTGGAAGATATTGCACATGCATAACATTATGCAGACATTGTTCTTATTCAAACAAGCACAGAACGTTAATGAAAAATGCAACAGATATGCATCAAATGTATGGCCACATGCTAATGTCCAGATTTTAGGATATGGGTGTGCTGGCCACCTTGTAACTATGTCAACACATTAACATGCATGCATATGATTGTGTGCGTGACTTATGTTTGCTGGACAATCAATGAAAGTGTACTTGACAACTAAATTAAATAAAGTCAATATGAAAAGGCATTCATATGATGCATGATCATGGTGTGATATGCGTAAGCTAGGAAAAAGACAACAACCAACAATTCGATGATAACCTGAATGAAACTGGCAATTTTTGGCGTTACTGGCATCACTGTCTTGTTCAGGTTTGTTGCAGGGGTAGCATCATTACTCGTCTCCCACTGCAACCATGGCAACATGACCCCATCCATTTCAACTGGAAGAGATCTTGCTATTGATGGGCTATTAAATGATTCTGGTTTTATTAGTCCTCCAATGGATGAGCTAGTGTCACTTCTTTCTCCATCAAGTGATGAAATATCAGTATCTTCGACATTTGAAATAAAATCCTCAATATATCTCTCAGCTTCCTCAGTCAAGCGCTTAGACATCCGGTTCCTGTCATTACTTCTCTGGAAAATAAAACAAAAATATTGTTTGAATGATCAGCCAAATATCTCAAGAGCTTCTATTTCATAAAGGAACAATGTAATAGACTTATATGTCCAGTATGTTATAGAAAACTTGTGCTCCTGCACCTGCAGAGGACATAGGACAAAAATACATACACACCTTTCTGGCTCTTAACGGTTTCTGTATAGCATCGTTCTTTTTGTCTGGGAGAAATTCTTTGACAATTTTAGAAAGTTCTCTGCCTCGCTGTTTCTCCAGCACTATTTCAGCCAATAAGTCTTGTTTACGCTTCTCTGACTGTCAGTTAAAAAAAATACAAAACACAAAGAAACATGGTAATTGCCTCTATCAATTAGAAAATGTTCACCAATCAAAAGCATCTGAAATACCAATACTATGCAAAGAAATAAAATAAAATAACAGAAGTTTCACAAGGCATTTTCTCCATCCATCAAGAAGGGAACAATGTAGCTGGTTTCAATTTTAGAATGTTTTAAGAGGACCTTACCCATTGCATTGTTCAAAAAATAGCAGTGTAAGAGTACAAATGATAGAAAATAAAAACAATCGGTTTCCTTATACTAGAATGAAACATTATCAAATACATGCACCAATACTAAAATAAAATAAAATAAAATAAAAGGAAGCCTAAAAAGATGAGTTGGGACAGTTGCATTACATGATTATCAAGCCAGCAATCACTACTCATCAGAAAATTAAGCAAGATACCACGTGCACTTTTAATATTTTTTCACTTCCAAATTCTGATACCTGTTCCAGTTCTGTTTCATAGTTCCTCCTGATACAAGACATGGCATGAAGAACATCAGAATTGTTTGACAGCACGCGATCAACAGTAGCTAGAGTGGAGGCCCTCGGTTTCACCCCAACCTGATTTAGAAGGTGCACGATAAACCAGAAAAATTTTCAGCAGAGATCAGTCAACGCAGCAAATCAGAGCATGCATAAGAAAGAATATTGAATTATAAAAAATTCACACTCAGACTTTTTCATTTTTCATTTTGAAGTCATCCGCAGAATGTCTTAATTCCTTTTGTGTAGCTTTGTGGAATCCACCGTCCATGCCAGAATTCCCTGCCTGAAGAATTGTAAGAGGATGAACATTATAGGTTTTATAATGAAGCAACACTCCTTTCACAAACTGTAACTTCAAAGAAAGTATATCAACCTTCTTCTGTGCATAAATAGTCTGGATATTCTCAGTCGCATTTTTATTGAGCTGAGCACCAGCCCCTTCCTCATCAGTAAGAACTGAAGATTGACTCTGAAAATCCAGAAACAATCTTTCAGATTCAGTCAGCTGGGTTCGGAATATAAGGCAAGAGCATGAGATATGAAAGATGTTGGTACTGTCTTCTGAAAGATAGATACCTAGCTTCAATCAACAGGTCAGAAATTTAGGGTAATTAACCTATTATCAAGCTTCAAGCCTCTTGACAGGAAAATTGCTCATAAAGGCTTTCAGAACAGAGCGATGAATAAGCATCTCAAGAAAAAGAATTCAGGAATTAATCTCACTTACAGAGTAACCATCATATGACCTCATATCTTTTTGGCTAAGGGACCTCCTCAGCACTGGTCTTTGATCAGAAGCAATCGTTTTACGTGTCGGTTTATTTGCAACATCAGTACTTCTGATATTCACGCGACTTTTAGAATTCTGAGAATGGTCCAGATCACTCTGTACGATGCATTATATGAATATGCATAAATATATCAAGTACAAGTGTCTAATAAAAAGTGGTAAAGTGAATCATACCAAATATAGTTTACCCAAATATTACAAGGCATGCTTCAATACAGGCAATGTTTTCAAATAACAAGTTCCGCATTTATAAATAGTTACAAATTAATCACTATTCAGGTCATGCGAGTGAGGATCAAATTGAAGAGAAAGTATTACCTATCAATTTGCCCAAAAACTCTCCCAGGATGAAAATGGGCAAAGGGGGAAATCATAGAACAATGCATGAACAAGAGATTTTCCTTTATCAAATAAAAATATAAAAATCTTCAATTCACCCACTTCATTTAAAATCTTTATAAGGAAATAACAAACTGCATTAAATTAAACAAGACAAAGGGAAGAAGTATTGTAGGAACATCATTAAGTAAGATGTGAATAAACAAACATAATCAACCTATGACGAACTTAGTACTTATTACAAGGATTTGTTAGCCCAAAAAAAAAAATTACTACAAGGATTTCGGTTAAAAAAAAAATGAAATTCAATAATCAAGTGAAACACTGGACGAAAAGTAAAGTCTTCTGGTGCACTTGGCAATATATGATCGTGTTAGTAGTCGGCAAATTCATACAATAAGCAGGGGCAAAATACAGCTAATATTTTCTAACTATCCAGTTCTGAATTTCCTTCTAAGCAAAACTATACTTGAACAGTGAACTCTAAACAAGCAGCTGCAGAACAAGGTAGATCAAGCGAAGAACGAACTTTCCAGTTTGAGACACCACCTGACCCTAAAACTCATATTGGTCCATGTTGCTCTGTCGAAACATACATGCTTGAAAAACACATAACTCGAAGGAGAACGCTTCTTTGTTAGATTTGATGTGGTCCATATTGCTCTATATGGCCTAAGTCGTATTCCCGCATTACATGCTTAGTATCATTCTAAACAGGGGAAACTCCTAGTCAGAATCGGTAAGAGAATATAGGATATATTCCTTGCATTTTTAACATATGATACGATATATGCATCCCTTTGAAGTATGCAAGCAGATAATTACGTCAAATTGACACTTCTATACAAACAAGGCAATGCATCCGAGTCGAAGGAACCAACTCTACGAAGACGAAGCAAATGATTCTCACCTCAGAATCACTAATCTGGTACCGTACCACCGAAAGCGATCTCCTCCTTCTCGCATGATCATCCGACCGTCCACCTCTGTTAGCACTATTATCAGCATTTCCCCTTCCATCATTGCTCACTACAGAGTTCTTCCTCGAAACAGACCTCCCTCGTCTCTGTGACGTAGTGGCTCCATTCGCAGGACTGGGCTCATAGTGTCTCGAAGCGACGCGACCTCGATTCGCAGATTCGAAGAATTCAATGGCAAGATCATCAAGACTGATCTCCGGAAACCCAGAACCCCTAACAGTGTTAACGAATCTCCCTCTTGGCACAGGGAATTCATCAAGGTCATTGACCGAGTCCTGAGGAGTGAGCCGGCGGGGGGCTCGGCTGAGACTTCGAGCACGACGGTAAGCGGAAGAGTTGCGGTTAGAGGAACTGGAATCATCGGTGGAAGAAGCCGATGAAGCTCCTATGGGAGTTCTCTTGGTCGTAGATTTGAATGCAGCCGTCGCCATTGTAGGAAATGAATTATTTACGGAGAGAAATGTCGGATAAGATTGAAACAATTTAGGGTTTGAACATTCAACAAAGAAGATAGTCTACAACGTCGTTGGAAGGAACGAAAGTTGTAAAACTACAAGCGATTCTTGTGAACTTATGGTAGGTGTAACTGTGTAAGAGAGCGTAGAGAAGGAAGGAGAAGGACACTGTTCCGTACTTTGATTATTGTTATTATTGTTTTTCTAGTGTCAGCTGGGCCGCCTGGGCGGAGTGGTCGAAAGGGTACGAGATTCAAATGATGCAGCTGTTGATCGAAGAGGGAACTGGTGATTTTTAAAATTTTTTAATTATATATATTTTTTGGCTGAATTATATATTTGTGGACTGTGTATTTAAATTTGAAGTAATAGTTAGTGAATATTATCATCCAATCAATTTTTTCCGAATGATTCAAAATTCTTGTTATTACATCACATTATAAAGTGCGATGTATCTTTTTTTTTTTTTTAATACACAGTGCGATGTATCTTCTTTAGGCTGAAGTTCTAGGAAGATTGTCTCTTTTTCCCTTGTTAACAACTTTCCAAAGCCTTTTTGTGTGAAAATGATAGTGGTCGGACAAATCCATGTTCTCATGAAATGTTAAAAAATCTGCTCTTTGACTAAAACAATAAAAAGTAAAACACCGTTTAACACAAAAATGAAAAAATCATGGTCACCTTTTTGCGACTTACAATTAATGGATGGGATAAAATAAAAGAATTAAAAAATAAAAATATTTTTATAAATTAATTTTTATTCTTACAAACCAAAGTATCTTAGAACATCCTCCTTTCACTTGGCCATCTTCGTATTTGTTGTCTTTAGATGTCAATTCTTTTACTTACTAGCCAAATTATTAAAAGATCAATTAGTAATGACTTAGCACAACGTGCTCTTCTCAATCTTATTTATAAATATCAGTTTTAATACAAATTTTTTTATAAAATTTAATGAAATATTGATAACAAAGTTTAATTTTTTTTTTTCACTTTTAGTTTTCCATCTTCTTCTCTATCCAGTCTCCCTCAATTGATTGATGAGTTGTTTTGATAAGTTATTAAATTCTTTTATATTTAGCTATTTTTAACGAATTTTATTAATCTCATAAACCTTGTTAACTGTGTTATATAAAATTAAAAAGGACTGAAAGGAAGAGTTTTACTTACCGTGCAAATCATTCAAGAAGATAATTGTGATTATGTCTACGTTTTCATCATTACCAAGTGAAACACGGCGCATTAAAAATATTTTTTTTAGGATGACGATCAGGTCCCAAATAAATGAATGACTAACAATTAAATTTCTGACAATGTTTTTTAAAAAAATAAGTTAAAACTATCAATCTAAATTATTATAAATTTAAGAGTATAAGGATTTAAATATTAAACATAACTCTTAAAATATAACAAAAATGTTTGTTTATAATTGAATTGATATTTATAATTCATTTTTTTTAAAAATTTTTATTAGGGATCAAACTGTTATTAATTTTTTATTTTTAAACGTATCTGTTATCAAATCATCCAAAAAGATAATTGTGATTTTGTCTACGTTTTCATCATTAGCGGGTGAACATGATGCATTAAAAGAATTTTTTTTCTTTTATTTTTTTCCCCCGACATTAGAAGGATCATTTCGTATCGTTCAAATGGCAGAACAGAAACCTCGTATATCTGATTTTAGCATACCGCGAAATAGAGAGATTGAACAAATGATACGGTGAGATTGAACGTTTAATATTTTAACTCATTATAAAGATTATGACAGCAAAATCAACATTAATTCGTGATACGTTTCAAACGGCAAAAAATCCCAAAATAATTGCATCAAGAATAAATAAGAATGACATGAATAAATAAGAACGATGAACTCTCCCCCTGTGATATCAAGAATTTAAGATATTAAAGGCAAAGTTCAGATTTGCTCTCACAGGTTTTTTCCGCAATTTTTTTTCCCCCAATGATCAGTTTTGGTAATTTTGAAAAAAAAAAAAAACGCACGCACGCACACACACACTCTTCAAACGATTGACAGTGTCAAATAGAAAACTTCTAAGCAGTGTACTGTATCAGGACAAGCAAGCAACGTTGAACATTACAATTTATAGTTTATAATATTTGTTCTTGCTTTTGATAGCTGCCTATAGTTTATAACATTAAACATGATTCACTTATTTTCTTTTCACAATTTAATTATTTAATTATTTTATTTTTTTTAATTTATTTTATTCTATTTATTTTTTTTTAACAACCAAACACATTTTTAGAGTGTCCAAGCACCGTGCTTGAAGAATTCAATATATTATTCTTCTCTTAAGAGGCGGTCGAGTGTATTGTTGCAACTAAACCTCTAAAAAAGAAGGGATGTGGAGATGCCCTAGAGCCTAGAAGCATTCTAGCAATTGAGGGTTGTTTATTGAGTTGACTAATAATTAGATTAGAGGGTGGATTGGACAATTCAATTTGGATGAAGATTTGAAGATGACTTACTCATGAACTGATTCTTGTAGAAAGTAAAAACAAAAAACAAAAAAGTTTGGTGGAAAAAACTCATGAAAAGATCAAGGGCTTTTTGTAGAAAGTAGCTTAGGATAGATGGCAAATGAGGTTTCATCACTACTCTCAGCGAAAGTCAGGATTACCATTGCCCTTTTAATTGTAGATAGTGAGAGTCTACCTTACTTATAATCAAAGATTGTTTGAAAGCCAAAAAGTTATATATTAACTTAGTTAAAATTAAATGTTTATGCTCTCTACTCTCACATGATTAGATGTTATGGAATGTGAATACAAAAGCCAGGAGCGAGGAGAGAAGGATGCTATGTTGGAAAAGAATTTATGTGCAGACTTGTTAGTTACTATGGAATAACAAATATAGCAAAAATATTTGACTGATGACCATGAAGAAAGGATAACATGTTCTTAACAACTCAAATCATTGTTGAGAATGTTAGACTCAAAAGGCATAATTAGATGTTGGTTGTGGAAAGTTCATATTGGGGATAAAATGAGTCAGAGAAAATGAAACACAAGTTTGGGTTGGATTAAATGTTGACGGCTCAATTAATCTCAAGGGAGAGGCTTCCTGTGATGAACTTATATGAGATAAATGCAACATTTGGAGAGGTGGATCTATAAGGAAATTAAGTTACTTTCCTAACACGATGGCAAAAGTGATAAGCATTAGAAAAAGTTTAAATCTTTGTTGGAATTTAGGTTTTAGAAAAAGTTAAGTTATATTTAAATATTCAACGAAAGTGACTAAACATTTAAAAGATTCATGAAAAAACACACCTCATCTTTGGAATTGCGGAAGATATAAGAAAAATGCTTATGCAAAACTAGGTATTCTATGATCACACATTTTCAAAGAAGCTAATACTTATGCTTACAAGCTTGCATGTAATGTGCTGTGTGCATATGTCTAAGTCTAACCACGAGAATGAGTTACTGTGGAACCTCAAAAATGTTTAGTTATAATGAGCTATGGGCTGAGCAATGAGCCAATAAATTTGGGTTGATCTCTTGTTTTTCACTCTCCAGGCTTTTTTCCTCTTGTTTTGTTTTAAAGGATTAAAACAAACCCCATCCGTCTGTAATTATCATGTATGCGTTAAAAATTAATAATCATGACTGGATTGCTTTTTAAATTTTTTGATGAATTGTCCCTACTAGTTCAATCAAGGTCCTGAATTTGCCATTGCAGCTACTAAGGAGTAAATGTTATAAATTGGCTTCTTCTCGAGCAATATGGATGAACCTTTGAATAATCTTGAATACATACCATCAGGAAAATCACCTTTCAACGAAGCATTCACTACATTTCTGTGGTTGCTTTGTTGAGTGCCATGTAGCACATTCACAATCACCTGTGTCGTTTGCTTGGTACACATGCTGTGCCTACATTGTACCCTTCGTGTGCTAATAGCAACAAAAATATTTTTTTTAATTTTATTTATAAGTTATTTTCAACATATTTCATCAAAATTAAAAAAAATTTAAACTTGATTAGCTCTATTTTAAAATTTAGTACGTTTATACCTGTACCCTCTAATAAAGATAAAAATAATTATTTTTAATAATTTTTTCTAACATTCAATAAGAGTTAAAAAGAAAAAATGAATACAGAAAACAATAAAGTGCCGTATAAATAAGGTCAAAATTAATATTTTTTTTATCTTATAAATAAGATCAGATGAGTATATAGGAACATTATTGGAAAGTGAAAGAGACAAATAAGTTATATTTTTTTAGGTGAGTTACATGAGCAGCATGTGACCTGTTAGAGTTACAACAATCACCTCTCTTTCTTTTTAAATACATGGTTACAGAAACCTGTGTAGTAAGAAAAAATTATCAAGACATATTAGGGTATATGCTATATCTAGTGGGTGATTCATTGAAGATTATTGTCAATATTATCATTAGATGCATGGTGAGCTAGCACATTGACAATTTGTTTGCTTTCCTGGACACATTGTCGGAAATAATTGCTTAATCTCTTGTAACAAATTCCCTAATATTCTTAACAAATTCTGGGTAACGATATTAGGAGAAATTGTGTTAGATTAACGATTAGTCTCTCTGAATAAACAATGATTGGAATCTTCCATTGATGATAGCTAATAAAGACAATGAAGCCATAAGAGTTCCAGTTACCTCTTGTTTGTACCTGATGGCTAATTGAGCCAATGAAAAAATAACGAGGACATATTTCCTATACCATTGTACCATTGTTCTACCAGTGTAAGGAACAAGTTTGTGAGAGTGAAGTTTTTTTTTTTTTTCTTGGCTACCCTATTTTTTTCATAAATATAAGCACTTCTTTCGATAGAAATTCAAAACTTAATTTCCTACATTGATTCTAATATTCATAAGAAGTAATTGAAAGTAATGATATTCGAGAGTTGAGACATGACCGGGTATTAAATGCAATGAACACCTTTTACAATGTGAATGTAAGCTTTGATTTACCACATTATAAGGAAATAGCTTTATGCTAAATTCGATATCTATCATTTTTTTTTTAACTTATCGATATCCTTCTATTAAAGGCAGTAACTGTTTGAGGTGTTGTCAAGCACTAAATGTGAATATATATCCCAACAAAAATTTAAATCTTAGTTTATAGAAACTAATCTTTCTACTAAATTCAATACTCATTAATCATCCGTTAGTTGATTTTGGATATAATTGTACAAAGGAGCACCCTTGATGTTAAAAGAGCTCTGGGCTTAAC